GTGCTCCTCGTTGTTCTCATCATTTGGAGCTCAGCCGTCTCCGTCTTTGAACCATTTGAACCTGATCTGTAGTCAAACGGCTTCAATGTGCTGAAAGTGGGTCGACAGGCTTTAAAAAAGAAGTTTTCAGAAAGCATGAACCTAAAATGTCACAGATAGTTTCATAAATGTCTGTATTTTATTCTATAAAATGTTCAGGCTAATGGGAGATGGTGGTTTAGAGGTCCGGTAGATGTTAGATGGAGTAACTGTTTGATCTGAATCTTTGACTCTCAGTATTGTTTTGTGCCTCCAGGTGTGGACCCGCCTGATCCGGTCCGTCCGGAGCTCCGGCCTGCCGACGTGCACCGCCAACATCCAGCGCCAGTGCGCTGAGATCTGGGTGTTCTGCGACGTGGTGCACTGCGAGCAGGTGGGACGGCGCCTGAAGGACGAGCTGCAGCTGTCGGGGAGCATCGGCCTGTCGGTGCGCCGGCTGGGACACGTCTTCAGCGTGTAGGGCCTCGGGTCGGCGCCGGTGAAGCAGCAGCATCGTTCTGGAAGGTGTTCAGGAGCTTTGTTCTCACTCTGAGGAGCCAGTTCAGGAAGACAGAGGCCAAGCAGCTGCTGGTTCTTCTCCTTTCAAACATTAAGACTGTGTCCTCTGCTGAAGGCCCTGAGTCATCGGATCAGCTGGTGCCTGGCCGACGTGCTTCTGGAGATACTGAACCAAATAGATAGAACAAATACAAACTCCTCAGAACTTGTGTGTGGTCCCACTGAACACGCTTATAAAGACTGAACAAAGCTGCAGTGACGTTTTTCCTGACTTCTGTGTTCTGATCAGAACCAGGTCCAGAGGAACCCGATGTGGGAGCCTGCCTGCCTTCAGTGAATGTGCAGGAATATGTTTTAAATGCTCCGTGCTGTTTACGTTTGCATAAATCCATGTATATTTAATAAAAGCTGCTCTACTGTTGGTCTGTTTTGTGTGGACTGAACCAAACTCCAGCCTCTGTTGTGTGCTGATGATTGTGATAAATAAACGTTTGATATGTTCCTGGATGTGTGTGTGTGACGAGTAGCGCGTTCTGGAAAAGCTGCAGCAGCTGCAGTCACGTGATGCCACACACACACACACACACACACACACACACACTGCGATGTGCTTGTGTAAGAGCTGAATGAATGAGGGCAGCCTGAACACCCCCATCTCTCCCTCACACACTCTCTCGTGTTGCTATGGGCTCTTGTCCTGACAGTCCTGCACACTGCATTAAAATCTAGGTTAGCGGAAGTGACGTCAGGGCCCTGCCTCCCTGCCCAGCTGTAATCGGCTGTAATCCCCCAAATCCACGTTTGTCGCTTCTGTGGACACAAGAATGCACACATAGCGCTATTTTTGTAGCATTTAACCACAAAATTAACTTCATTCAGTGGCTGTAGCTGTTTCAGAGGCATTACATCTTTTGATTTATTGTGAAAGCGGGCGGGGAATCATAAATAAACACATCTGTCAAACATCCTTCGCGATGATCACGACCTGCACCGTGCGTATTTATTTGAACAAAGCTTCAATTGTGCATAAAAACGAACATTAATGCGACAGTTTGGTGATTTAACGCGACGAAGCAGCTTTATTTTGAAACGCTTCGAGACATGCGCAGTAGACGCCAGTCGCGCTGCAGAATTTCAGACGGCGGAGCCACGAGTGCGTTCATCGTGGGAATAATCGGTGAAATAACGGAATACCTCGGTTTTGGAGAGCACCCGGGGGTCGTGTGAGCTCGCCGCTCCGCTATGGGTCCCGGTGTTCGCGCTGCTGGAGGTTTTTATCGGTGAAAAAGTCCAGAAAAGGTGAGGCGGCGGACGGGAGCTAGGCGGCTAAGCTAGCGCTGGCATGCATTGTCGTTTCCTGGAGGGGTTCTGTGTCTGATGTCTGGTTTTATGGCTCCATTTTACAACTTGTGCCACATTCAGCGTAAAGATTAGTGTTTAATTCAGTCTTACTCGGTGTTTTTAACGCCGTGAGCCACGGAGTTCTTTGAAATACCACTTAGTCCTGTTTTTCCTCGTACTCCACTGTTTACTTAACGACAGTCCATTTGAAACTCGGCAGATTTTAGGTTCGTGACGGTTTATTTCCGTGACATACGTGCGTTTTAAAAAAGGTTCGGTGTTGACATGTTAGTTAATGTGTTTTAATATTTTTCGGCTGCAACCAATTATTCCTATATTTTCTTTCGGAGGTGGTTAATCTGCGGTGATGATGCAGTGAACATCCTCCAGCTAGAGTCTGAAATATAAAGAGTTAAATGTTAAACCCACGAGCTGAACAAGTTTAACCACCTAAAATCAACTTAAGCCGTTTTAATAATCGTCTGGTATTATATTTATCGTATTTAGTTTTAAGCAAAATTGCAACAAAAACAAACAAAAAAAAAGTACAAATGTCTTCAACAAATATTCGGTTTTAAGCAACAAATATTAATTTCTGTTTTATAAAAAGTAAAAGAAGCTGAAACTAATTACACAACAACAAATCAAAACCTTTTTTTTTGTTCTTGTAATTTTTAATATAAACTGTCAAAAAAATCAAACATCTCGCAGGTTTCAACCATAAAGTTTGTATTCTTTGATTTTTTTGGTCTTCTTTGGATTTTAGACTTTAACAACACGTCATGAGCACTATTTCTGCATTTACTGACCTCATATATTAACCAGGGAATCCGCGGATTAAGCAATAATTGTTGTTTGCAGCCTTTTTTCTGGCATTTTAATAAAACTGTTGGAAAATACTATTCAGCTCCAACTGACTTAGTTTTGAGGATTTTTCTGTTATTTTTGTTTTTATTTAGACTTGCATCTAACAAACATCCCATAATTTGCAGTGTATTGTTTCAGGTTGGTTCCTAAAATGAGACAAATGACCAACTGATGGTTTAAATCCAAGTTCTTACATTTTGCAGCTTCATTTTCACCAGATGATTATTTTACTTTCTCCGTTTGTCTTTTGTTAATGAATGAAATCTAAGATTGGAATAGTTTCTGGTTGGTTTTCAGTAGGTTTACTAATTATTTAACTGACCATAAACTAAACGTTTATGCTAGATTTGATATTTTGGTGGAAAATCTGTATTTTTCTGGACTTTAATTTCTGATTTCTGTGGATGAACAGACAGACAGCAGCTGCATTAGACTCATGATCAGGTCGAATAATTTAACTGACAGTGTTTTAAAATGTCCAAATCATTTATCCTGCAAACAGTTTGAAAACCTCTGAAGTTGTGGCTTCTGCAGCTTCCAGAGCTGCTGCTTCTCTCAGTTTCGTTTTTTGAGTATTTGGGGTTGTGATGAGGACAGTCCTTCCTTTTTAGACACACATTGTTGTGTTTAAACGCAGAAGCTGGCGGCTAAAGGGCTGAAGAGCAGGAATAAAAGTGGCTGCACACGCCGATGTGTGTTTTTAATTTTTCATCGGGCCCGTTTCCCCGCGTTGCCTTCATCGAGGTCGGCCACTTCCTCTGAGACGAAACACCGCGAACCGAGAACGCCATCAAATATTAAAGCGCCTTTTATGAGACGAACCGTGAAAAGGGAACAAAGCAGCCCGATGCCGTGCGTTTGATGAGGCCGTAAATTCATCACAAGATGAGAGGATGAGGAATCTGAGCGGCTTCCTGGGGGAAACCCTGCGAGAAAAACCAGGCAGCAAATCGTTTCCTCTGTGTGACTGTAAATCTGCACCCAGTCGCCAGATTATCACTTTCACAATAAATACCGCTTCTTTAACCCATAACTCGGGCAGCTTCTGGCTGTTTTCTGCTCCTGTTCCTTCACATGTTTCTCTGCAGCTCTGAGGAACCAGAACCTGAAGGAGGAGACAGAACTCAGAGACGTCTGCTGTCAGCTGAGTGACAGGAGTCAAGAAATGGATGTTATAAAAATTAAAAACCTGACATCATCGTTTCTGAGTGCACAGGTCTCCTAACAATAATAATTAGAGCTCACTGTAGATATTTAACTATCGTGTACAGCACTGATCATACAAATAAAACGTGTCACAAAGGGCTCTACAGGACCGGTACATGAAAAGCCATTAAAAACACAAAGGAGCAGCCACATAAGCATCATGTTGTGAAGGAAGCTGCTGTCATAAATAAAAACACGAGAGCTTCGACCAGTCAGAAAGAAGACGGTCAGAAAAACAAAGTGGTGGATTTAAAACGGATAAAAATGTAGAAATAAGGGAAGAAATCTAAAATCAGTTTAAGGAATGCTCATAATTATAACGACAACAATAACCTGATGAATAAGTTATAATGACACAGAATAAATCAAAAGCTGTTTAAAGTTTAATGAGTTTCTTCACTCGTCTCCTCGTGGTCGGTCAGTCGAGTCGGTCAGGGCTTCATGAGTCTGGTCAACGGAAACGCTTTGCTTTTAGCTCTTTTTTTAAACGTAGAATAAATTTATTGTGATGAAGTATCAGGATTGTACGTTCAGATTTGGTGAATTTCCTCGACGAGGTCCGACATGATCAGACCAAAGACTGTCGGAAAGTTAAACATCTGAGCAATTCTTTCTGTTTTATTCTTTCTGCGGATAAATGTTGGTGTGTTTTTTGTCATTTCAAATAATTTTAGTCACATTTCAAACCTTTTTCTGAATTGTGAACAAATTCGATCATTGTGGACGTACAGACACATGAATATAATCTGCTTCGTGGTTCCTTCAGTTTGTTATCCAGCTTCTTTTAATGCAGGTAAAACATCTGCACACTTTAGTTTGAGCGATTTTGAGCAAAACTTTTGTTGATATTTTGAAATGTTTTGAGTCATTTTGGACAAATAGAGACGCAACAAACATGTTAAAGACGAACAAAGAGATGAAACGTCCTGATTTTATGCTCATGTTTGACTAAAGTGAGTCAGAACTTTCCAAAATGCCCCAAAAATTGGATCCTGTAGAAACGTTCTTTCATCCTGCCTGTACTACTGTGTGTCTACAGCAACATGACAATAAACTGGATTTGATTTTTACCTGCATAATAGAAGGTAAAGCAGAACCAGAACATGTCCAGTTTGACGTGTTGACAGGAGAGATGTTCCACAATAACAATGTCCAGAATGAATCTTCATGAAGCGACTCAGAATATCCCAGAATGATTTGACAGTGAGCAGATGTTGTTTGTCCACCAGATGTTGGCGGTGGTGAGGTTCTAATGAGGTTAAACTGACACTTCCTGTCGTCCGTCAGGTCCAGATGTGGCCGCCACCTCTGCTGAGACTCCTGTTCATGAACGGCGAGGACGCTTCGATCGGGCGGCCGCGGCTCGGCCTGGAGGGATGACACGGCGCTAGCAGACATGGAGACCGGAGAGACTCGCTCGCTCAGCCCACACTCTGCACCTTAGAGGCCCTCAGGACTACAACCAAGCCATTTTTGTAGTTTTTTTTTTTTTTTTTAAACTTAGTTTCTGTGTCAGTTATTGTGAAGCCATAGCCGCCGGGATGAGCTCGGAGGGCTTTCAGTACCGAGCGCTGTACGACTACAAGAAGGAGCGCGAGGAGGACATCGACCTGCACGTCGGCGACATGCTGCTGGTCAGCAAAGGAGCTCTGCTGGCGCTCGGCTGCAGCAACGGAGCCGAGGAGCGGCCGTCGGAGATCGGCTGGCTGCCGGGCTTCAACGAGACCACGCAGGTAACGCGGGTGGTTCTGGCCGGGTGGGGTTGGACGCTGTTAGTAGAGGAGCTCAGCGGGTCGGGTGTACTGAGTCCAAACCCCAGTTTCCATTTGTTCCCACTGTTCTCACTGGTCTGGTTGCTGCAGGTTGTTTGTTTTCAGTAAAATTCTAACAGATGTGAATAAAACAGTGGTTTTGATGAAATGTCCAGATGTTCAGATCAGATGTGGTCGTTTTTTTTCCCTAACAGAACCAAAGATAGATAATAGATGCTTCCTCTGTCTGTGGGAACACATCCTGCAGTTCAGCCCAAAACTCTCCGACTTGTTGGTCACGGCTGAGTCACAGATTTACGACTGTTTTTTACAGACTCTGGTTGTTGCAGAGAGTTTGTCTTTAAAAGCAGACGTATAGAATAAAGGGATTCAGATGAAATATCAGCATTTTACCAGGTTCTGGTTCCTACCAATGATCCACGTCAACATTTTGTCCAAACATCTGGAACTGGAACCTCAAACACCTAAAGTTCTCCTGATGGTAGAATGCAGATGTTTTGTGTCATTTTGGACAAATTCTGGGATTTTTTTGAACGTTTTTGAGCCATTTTGTGAAATATTTCAATCATTCCAGATGTTTTTCTTCAGATTTGGACAGTGTGAAGTTAGACAGTAAACACATAAACAGTCCATCATGGTGGCTTCTCCTCTCCATCGGCGGCTTTTGTGTGCCCGTTAAAAAAAAAAAAATTGTAATAATAATTTTAAGAAATAAAATATAAATTTTAAGTCATTCAAGATGAGTTTTATTTGTCACAGACACATTTATACGAAGTGCAGTGAAATGTGTTTTGTATAAGCATCAAGTTTTCAATAAAATAAAATACAATAATTTAAAAAATAAAATAAAATGTTAAAATAAAATAAAATTAAAAATAAAACAAAATAAGATTTAAAAAATAAAATAAGAAATAAAATCCAAAAATAAAATAATTAAATACAATTTAAAAAAAAATACAATAAAAAAATAAAATAAAAATGCAACGAAATAAAATAATAAAATTAAAATGATAAAATAAATGTGGACAAAGTAAATCGTTAAACAGTGTTTCAGATGTTCAGTCTGAGAAAAATAATGTGTTTTCAACAGTAAAGTAGGTAAACATCTTCTAAACAACCTCAAAAATACTACCAAGTACAAACCATGCAGAACGCGGGCCCTTTATTGATCGATGTTTCTAGTTATTCATTATCGATCAATGAGTCGATACGTCGGTCTAAATCAATGATTGATCTTGACCCCTAGTAACCCCTGAGTGGAGACGTGGTGGTGTTTACGGTGGTTTATTGTCACTAACAAAGAGCCACTAAGTGCAGATGTAGTGGATAAACGATGTCTTCGGTACCACAGAGACGTGAAGTCACACTTTGAGCTTTAATTACCTTTAATCCACTTCATCTTCAGCAAGCTAAACTCGAATCATCGCAGCTTTTGTCAGAGTTCGGCTTCTCTGTGACCATCTTGTCCCGTCGACAGGAGAAAGGCGACTTCCCCGGGACATACGTGGAGTTCGTGGGCAGGAAGAGGATGTCGCCGCCCACGCCGAAGCCCCGCCCAGCCAGGCCGCCGTCGGCAGCGTCGGCGAGGACCGACTCGGAGTCGGAGGGTGAGTGAGCTCGTTTAGACACGTTACTGGGTCGGTTTGGTCCAGAGTCGGGCCTCGTGGCTCTGAGGAGCATCTTTGTCTCCACTTTATCGTCAGAACTCTGCAACCAGAGTTCTTTTTGGTCTCTGATGCGGCGTTGGACCAGCGCTCCGATCTCTGAGCTGTTGAAGGTGTCGAGTTGTTGTTCTTGTTTATCTTGTGTTTATGCGTCGCCTCTTTATTCTACAGTCGTGTCTTCTTGTTTTTCTTACGTCACTTTGCTGCTGTGACGTTGCAGATTTCCCGTAGTGGGACTAATAAAGGATCCTCTGAACATGACCCATGAAATAGTCCAGATTCTGCTTTTGGTTCCTCTTCTCCTCCAGTGTTGGACAGCTGCTTTGTGGCTGTAAAAAGTCAGAATGTACATGTTTTTGTGCCTTTCAGATCTTCTCTTTGTCGTTTTGTTGACATTTTTAATAGTTTTGAATATATTTAGTGTCATTGTGGACATTTTTTTTTGTAATTTTTGAGTTTTTATGAGTGCAAATGACTCAATGAGACGCTACAAACAGTCTGAAAACAGCCCAGAAATAGTCCACAGGCAACTCTTTGGTTCCTTCTTTCCTTCGTTGAGCTTTTATAGCGTCTTTTTTTGTGCCTGTGAAACGTCTGAAAACTAGAATTTCAACTCACTTTAGGCCACCGTGGGCTATTTTTGTGTGTGTTCAGACAACTTGACCCATTCTGGATCATTTCTGATTAATTCTGGACCATCGTCGAGCCGTTTTTGTGTCACTCAGACAAAAACGAGCTTTGTTAAATCTATACGACACATTAAACAGTTCATGTTCTGCCGTTTGGTTCCACGTTTCCTGTAGAACTGCTTTTAAAAAGTCAGCAAATGAGAATTTTGAATCACTTTGTACAAATTTTAAGTCATTTTAGGTCATTTTTCTTGTCATTTTGGGTCATAAACAAGTCATTTAGGCAAGTTTGTCAGTTTAGATGCAAATGATTTGTCATTTTAAACAAGTTTTCCTTCAGTTTGGACAAATCTTCATTTCAGAGCCGAAGAGCTGCAAACTAGAGATTTGAATTACTTTATATAAATGTATATTATTATATTTTTCAGGCACTTTGCACAGTTTTCAAGTAATTTTGCATATTTTTCAGGCACTTTGTTGTGCATCATTCAATTCGCTATTTGAGGTCTGAGAGCTGCAAACCAGACTTTTGAGTCACTTTGTGCAAATCTTAAGTTAGTTTACATATTTTTCAAGCACACTTTTCGAGTCATTTAGCTCTTTGGGGGCATTTTGTACAGATTTTAAATGATTTCTTTTCAACATTTTCATCTCTCGGGTCTCGGAGACGAACACAGGCGGCTGTGAACGTTTCTGGTCATTATTTTAAGCCGTCGTCGTTTCTTTTTGTGTCACGTTGCTCTGAAGAAACTTTCCAGCCTGAGAAGTGGCTCAGTGTGACTCACACACCTCCACTTCCTTCAGCTGCTTCCTCCCAGCAGCTCAACACACAACAACACACACTGCAGTCTGAGCTTCTGTCAGGTGTTTGTACCCGAACCTGAACCCTGAGACCCGGTCTGGACACTGAAGCTGTCCTCTGAAGGCTCGTGCTGAGGCCAGGACACGCTGAGACGTCCTCGCCTCCGGACCTGGAGCTCTGCTCGGCCCTCACAGAGATAGAGAGTCACGTACCGGAGGTGGTGTTAGTCAGGCTGTGGTTGCTGACTGAACAGATCTGAGCTGCTGCTACCAGAGAACCAGGATGTGTGATTTACCGTCTCTGAGTGTGTGTCGTGGTTAGAGCTGCTGCTTGTGTGGTAAAGATGATTGTTTTCTTTATCTGCCCAGAGTTCTGAACCACGAAGAAGCTTCATCACATCCAGACAAAAACTAAAACCTCAGTCAGAGCTAGCAGGTACCACAGAGGTGCTTCAGCTGCCTCTTCCTCAGACTCTGTTCTCATTGAAGGAGGCGTTTAACGCGTCATGTGACTCCTCTGCAGTAAACGGAACAAACATAGAAACACGTTGATGTGACTTCTGCATCAGCAGCTGAATACCTGTAGGTTTCCATGGCAACAGGATGCCTCCAGTGGTGATGCTGTAACTGCTTCATTCAGTGGTTTTAGTAACGTACAGATCAGCAGGTTCACAGAGAAAACATCATCATCAGGAACCAGTTTGGTTAAAGGGAGACGCTGAGCAGGACCTGGACCAGGTTAGCATCAGTTACCATGGAGA